CCGGACTTTGCTCCTCAAAAAGCTTATCAAATCTCTTATTTTCTGGATAGAGTACTTAAATCTATGATGGATTTTCGATAGGCTTTCAAGTGGCATTCAATCCAATGGAATGGGTGGCAATTAATGGGAAAATGGGTGAAAGTCCAAAATAAAAGAAGAACGATAAAATATAGATAAAAGAGATAGGGAGAAAGGGTATATAGCTTGTAGATCCGGTTGATCGATGAGTTTAGGGAAAAGAAAGAGATACTAGATTGTAGCTAGTGAAGTAATAATAGGACTTCTGTATTCTGTAAGAAAAACAAACAACAACTCTGAATGTACATTTGAATTCCATTGAATGATTTCCATTGATTCCTTGGTTCTTGATTCCCCTCGAATAACCTCTCCATCAACATTGAACGTTCCCCATCTCTGCCCCATCTCTACCCCATTCTCTCCTTTCAATTCCTCCTTCTTCCATGGATTCCCCATTCATTCCGAGCATAACACTAAATGGAAAAGAAAACGACAAAACGACGAATAAAACGGCCATTACTTCCTTCTTTTTTTCTCTTCTTTTTCCCATTCAACACACCGACAATACACGCTAATTTCACGCTCATAAAGTGGCGATAAATGAGTCTTTTTTTCCAATGGATTCCCTGATTCACGCCTTTTTTTTGCTGAATGTAATACTCTTGGGAATATAATAGTTGTTTTAAATCATTTTCCACAAATGATTTATTTGTTAATTTAAGTTTTTTTCCTACCGTCCGCCATTTCACAGCATTGTTTCTCTTTGGTCAAATTCGTTGTTGGAACTCTTGTTTTAGGATTTCCCAGTATTTTGTCTTAAATAAATTGTTAAATCAACTTCGTCAACTAAAAAAAACATAAACATCAAGCAAACACAGACATATAAAACAAATACTTTTCCTAGATGTTCATTTGTAGTACAATTTATGATCTACATTGACCTTGGAGATTATGGTGGAATTGAAAGGAAGGGATCAGAGTTTAATTGACTATTTATGGGAAAAGAACCTTTCTGAATTGCTTACAAAGGAATAGCCTAAGAAGCTTAGAATCCTGAGAACCTGAGACTACTGGCTTAGTCTCACTAAGGCTCAGGCTCAGGCTTACCATGAAACATGATGAGACCAACCCCATTCTTCTCTAAATTTCTCCCCTCTTTTCACTAGCAGTTTTCCCCTATTTTCACCATTTTGCCCCCTCGGAAACCCTTGATTTTATACGAATTTTATGTGAATTTTATGTGAATTTAACGCCCCTCCTCATTTCTCGTTCATTTCTTCTTTTCTCCTTGGTCATTTCCCCATTCCTCGGCTCACAAAACTTTCAAAACGATCAGCCGACAATTGCTCTTTTCCTCTTTTCTCCTCCTTTTCTTTGATTTGATGGTTTTCCTATGAAATCATTTTTTTTCTTTCTTTGCCTCATAAACTTTCCTCTCTTTTTTTGAACACAATTAGCGTCTTGATCGCTTTTTTTGTTGCTACAATAAAGAAAAGAATTGGATCAATGAAAATCGAATGGTTTTTAGGCAATTGATCATGGTACTTGTAGTGAATTTAAGTGAAAACTTTGAGTTCAGTAACCTGAAAGCAGTAGCTTTGCTAGTTGAGTTTAACGAATTCAATTTTACTCTCAACTCTTACTAGATTGAACCATATGGGAACGATTTGGGGAAATGTAAAGGATGAATGTCAAGGGGGTGAAAGGTGTTGTGTCCTCCGTTTCTCACAGAAAGGACTCCCCATAAATGCCAAACAAATGACCAATTTTCACTTCGAATCCTTTCCCTCTTTCTTTTCTTTCCCAAACAGATTCCCCTTTATGTTCCGTTGTCTGTGTCATTGATCTGTCTATCTGACAATTCTCCTCGAGCATCGATGGGTCTCCTTTTCTCCTTGTTTCCCTTTCCGACTACAAGATGCGCAATCCTTTGATCTCTTTTCTTCACCGATCGAGCTGCCGCACATTTGGCTGATTGACGTCCACCATTTTGCCCCTCAAAGAACTCTTTTGGTATTTATGGGGGAATTTGGGTGGGATTTGAAATTGCAGGGAATACAGGAGTAATTCAATCATTTTCGATTTACAAATTGATCCACAACTATGAATGACAAGATCAACAAGATAAAACGCTGAACTAGCTCTTTTGTGACAAAGATTTGATAACGATCTTTGGAATGGACATTTATTCTTAATTTAAAATGAATGGTTGTTGACGGGTTAACGGAAAAGGGTTTAGTAGGATAAAGAAAAAGTGATTTATGTCATTTTGAACTTCCGTTTTCTCTCTGAAATTTTGAGAAAGACTCTGGTATTTGATGGTTTTCTCTGTACTTAAGAAAAGAAAAATTGAATGGTTGATGTGACAATGTTTTCAATGACAATCTTTGAACTGGCTTATTGTTAGATAGCATTTTTCTAGTAAATTCTCCTCTTAGAAATCCTACAAAAGAATGCATTGCAAAGAGAGAATTGTTGTGAGAATGGAATGAGATGGAAAGGGATCTTCATCAATCATTTCCATGTCATCTCCCCTCATTCCACTATTCTTTTCTTTTCCTTTCTTTCTCTGGGATATTCATCAATGAATGCTTATCATTACCCAAAGATTTTCTTTGTCTTTTATCCGTTTTTCATTCAAAATATCTAGATCGAGAGAAAAACCCTCGAAAAACAATCGTCCATTTCTTTAAACGATTTATGGGGAATCTCTTTCACCCGGTGCCTTTCATTTGTTATTGCAAGTTTGAAAAAGTTTGATGTTTTCAAATTCTTTGAATCTGGAAAATTGTTGATCAGAGGAATTGATGGCATTGGCAAAAAATTGTTTTTGATCTTTCGAAACCGATTTGGGTAAAATCGTTAATTCACATTACTGTATCATCCTAAACCTCTGCAAAATTCGAATTACATCCTCTCAATTCATTCAAATAAACAATTAAGCAAAGATTTGTCTCTTTTTCCGAATCTCTTATAAAAGATCAAAGGGGAGAAACCGCCGTCAACTCAAATTATCAACAATGATTCCCAAAGAGACATCGCATCTCTTTTTGATCGGCGATTCATTGAAAAGAAATGAAAAGAGATCTTTCAACAAAACGACAAACCTTTATGATGATCTTCTCTTTTATTTCTTTTCTTCCTTTTTAATTCTCGAGTCGGATCTCAATTCATGAATGTCACATCCAATCAAGATTTCCCAATCATTTCTACAATCGAATGGAAAGGGGCGAAGTACAAAAGACTCGGATAATCATTATAAGTCGAATATTATTTTATTTCATTCATTTCTTTAGTTTACTGCTTGTGTTCAAATTCTTTTGCTTGATAGATGCCATCATTCTATTGTATAAAGTTTTTTTGATAGCCTGTTCTAATTTTTTTGATAGCCGCAAGTTCTAATGTTATTAATTGATAAATATAAACATGTAAAAACAATAAAAACATCTGGCTAGGATAAATTGAGTTAAAATCAATACTCAAATGAGAATAGGGGTTAAATGATGTTGAGAGTATGTTGTGTGAAGTGTCTGTCTTCTTCTTGATTGCCGATGGCTGACCAATCCAATCCACTCGAATATCCATTTTGTTGACAATTACCCCCTTCAAATGGATACAATTAGCACTCCATTTCACCCAATCGACATAGGGATTTGGGCTTTTATTTAACCGATTTCCCCCTTCTGCTCTCTTTCTATATAATTGATAGGAAGAAAGAATTAGAGATCTTTTAAACTGTTATCTAATCATTGTTTTAAATCATTTAATTATTAACATCTAATCGTCATCTAATCATCATCTAATCATAGTTTAAATAACAGACTTGGGGTACTGTAAAATCCTGTCTCATTATAGGAATGAGCTAGCTTCAAGGAAAGAGTTTGAAAGCTGTTTTAAAGTTTTAAAGCTGGCTACTTTTGTTTTCACGATCTTGCTCTTTACTCAATATATATTTACAATCAATTTTGTTTTATCTGATGATCAATTACAGTAAACTCTTCAAAGACAAAAAAATGGTCTTTCCAAAGATATTTCTCACGCTTCGGTTCAGATGAAAGCCGTCAATCTAAACGGAAAGATTGAAAGAATGATGATTGGATTGATTGTGAATGGGGGAAAGATGAGATGAGGGTGAGAAAATGTCCCTTCAGGCTTTCACAATCAGATTGAAGGAAGGGGTCCAAACAAGGGACCGCCATCATTCCTTTTCTTCAATCCATTCATATTTTGACACTTGAGTTCTTCTTTTTGATTGACATCTGTCCCCCGGCAATATCTAGATTTGGCACTCATTTGGAGACAATTCACACAAGTGATCACGAAGAAATAGGCAATAATAAGCATCATTGACACCTCAGGGCATTTTTGAACGGAAATTGAAAGGGGGACATCTGGCGAAAGTTAGGGAAAACTTACTGCATCATTCATCTTATAAACTATTGATCAAATCTCACAATCAGTCTTTAACTCATACCATGACGCTATCAAGCTTTCCTTCAAAACATCCAAGCTTGTTCTGAAGTTAGAGTTAGCTTGTTAGACTCTTTTCTTCTCGTTTCTCGATCACTTCTCGAGATGTGAGTGTTGGATGGAAGAGGTCATAAATCTCAGTGTGAGGCATCTCTTTTATCGAATCTCCTCTTCACCCCAAGGGGAAGTCCTTCACTCAGTCACATCACTCACCAATTACCGTTTGCCTTTTGCAACTGCCGCTCTGTGCCCTCTTTCCTTTTCCCCTTCCCATTGGACGATCCCATCGATCACAAGCTCCGCCCAATCTCTTCTTTTTCTCGAATCCACCCCGCCCCTTTCTTTTTCTTTTCTTCTTTCTGTCACTCGGCCGTCACTCAGTCTGTTTGAAGAGGACACCAACCACACATCTTTTCCATTCTTTTTCATTCTTTTCCATTCATTTATGAGATTTCTTTCACAATTTTTATCACTATTGATATTCTCATTTGAATAATCAATTCTATTCAGTAATGGTATCAACAAACTCATCTCAATACGCCACCGACTTCAACAACAGTCCAACTGCGGTGAGTTCTTTTGAAGTTTATAAATGTTTGTAAATGTTTATAAATGTTTGGCCACATGTTAACGAAGTGTGGTGGATGAATTGCATTGTGGGCAATATGTACTTGTTAAATTCGAGCTTTATTTAAACATTCTTCATCGAAATTGTTGTTTCTATCAAAATCCGAGCTCAATTCTCGATTCTCTTTCATTTTCCCTTGTGCAATGTCCATAATTTCTTCTCACTCATGTGACAATTCGCCTCTTGATATTTCCCATTTCCTGTCTTTCTCCTTTTTTTTTCTTTGTTCGGATTCATTTGACAATCGCCCATAAATCCATCACTTTAAATGAATTCGAAAGAAGAGAGACTCTCGAATTCATTCTTTTCCTCGAAAACAAATTCCCGATTTGACTCGACTCAACTCATAAATCTTTCTCTTCAGCCAATTTCTCGATTTTCGCAACAATTTATCCCCAAAAAAAAAGATTTATTTTGCTCATAAAGTGCTCAAACGTAAAGATCTAATGTTTAAGATCAAGGAAAATTTGGGGCATTGAGTTGACAAAAGGCTGCTATTGCATTTTCGCTACAAAATATCCAGTCTTTCTCGATTCATCCCTCAAAAAAACCCATTCAATAGTTATAGCAAACATTTGGGGGAAAAGATGAGAGGGATTTATGTCTAGATGGGATGACCCTCATGAAGAGGATGGATGGATTGAAAGACGAAAAATAGAGAGGAGGCTCATTTTGTGCTCCCTTTTGAATTGTTCGGAATCGAATGAAATTTCGATGAGAGCCCATTTCAAACAGCTTTACGACACACGGGAGGCTCAAAATGGCCCTTTTCTGAAAAAGAGATGTGATTGGGCCATTTGAGTGCAATCATAAAGAGCAAAGCGGCAAAGTCTTTGATTTCAGAGCGAATATAGGAGTCCAGGTCTTATCACTCGGCAATTTTCGCTCCAATAAACAGTCCCGATCTTCTTTTTTTTTCAGTTATGACAGGAGCCCGCCATTTTATGGGTGACATTGAGAATTATGGGTGGGTTGTAAAGGCGGAGGCTCTGTCTTTTTCACTCATTTAATAGGCCAATAAATGAATGGACATCGCTTATCAAAACATTTCAATATTGGAAGGGAATGTTTGTTTAGGGAAAGAGTCAATCAACACTGCAAAGCATTCAAATTTGTAAACACTTCTGCTGATTTGTAAGCTGAAAGGTTTTGACTTTAAATCTAGTAATCCAGTAGCTGTCCTATTTCTTTTGCAAGCCACTAAACATTCATCCATCCATAAATTCTCAGTTTCCCCCTCAAAAGAAACAGCTTCTTCAAGTCCTTCCCCTCTAGAGAGGCAATTTTTCACCACCTCGAACTACTTTCCTCTTTATGTTATTTGTTTGAAGGCCAAGAGCTCAAGACATCAATCTTCAAAATCTTAGAGAATGGTAGGGGATGGGGTTGTGAGAAAGTCATCGCCCGATCATCATCCTTCACCCAAACCGAGAAGGGCCAAAAGACAGGAGATCTTCTCCTTCTTCTCTAAATGACGGATGCTCGGATTGGAAGAGAGCACCGGCGCCGACACCGGCAATCCGTCTTCTTTTTTCCTTTCTTTCCCCTTCTCAACCCCCAACACCCATCTATTACGAGCTGCGTTGTTTTCGAGTGACTTCCCCCTCTCCCACTTCTCTCCCTCTTCTCCTCTTTTCTCTCAATCCCAAGCTGTCACTCGTTGAGCCAATCCATCTCCTCAACTGTCACCTACCGTAGCGCTTTGATCTAGCCGATTGACCATGTATGGATCGTAGATTTGTATCTAATGGCTCTTTTGTTACTCTTTGTGATCCGATCGTCCCCTTTCATGTAAATTCCTCGCGCATCTCCATCCAGCCGATCTCTTTCAATTTAAAGATCTCATCGCTAATTTTACGAGCTCTTTCTAGGAGAGGTCATTTTGCAGGAGTCTTTGATTGCTATCTCCGTGGTTTATTGTCTTCTCCGGTTGTACAATAAGAAAAAAAGTGTTGAAACTCTTTGAAATATAAATATTGATTGAAACAAAATTGATAGAAGAATTTCCAGGTGGACACGACAAAGAGCTCTCCATTGTCATTGTTGGCGAAAACATGTGAAGCGATTGGTTTACCCGATACTCCATCATCAAAGAAAACACCGAAAAAGGACGAGAATAGCCCTGGAGATGGTTGGTGATTTAAAAAAAGCTTAAAAAAAATTAAAAGTTAGATATTATACAGTAACCGAGTCTTTCTTTTCACAAAATTTATTCAAATCAAAGCAATGAATCGCGCTCATTTCACCGCATAAATGACCCATTCGAATGGCGACAAAATCGGCCAATAAAAACTTTTCCGATCGCTCATTAAACACGAGAACGGGAAAAGAAAAAGGAAAAGGAAAAGAAGAGAATCTAGGAATGAGAATCAATGGGATACAAACATTGTACTCACAACAAAATTCAATTCAATTCAATTCAATTTTTAGTCAAAAAATCGGATTCTCCTAATCTGTCGAAGAGGAAAGATGGATTGAGATCACCGCGAGCTACACCAAAGGTAGATTCAACGAATAGAAATAAGAGTTCTACTCACTGAATTTATGTATCTAATCATCAACTTTTCAGATAACTGATCCAGCAGCAGCTTTGACAGCAATGGGACTTGCCAAGGGAGCCTCGGGAATGTTCTCTCCATTCGGTCTTCCGATGGGATTCCCGATGGGTTTCCCGGGAATGCTTCCCTATCCACCAATGCCCTATCCAAGCTTTCCCATTCCACCATTTATGAGGTTCGTTTCAGTTTTGAAAGGTTTTGAAAGGTCTTGAAAGGATTTGAAAGGCTTTGAAAGGATTTAAAAGGATCTTTTCTTTCAAAGGCTTTTCATGAGGTTTTCCTAAGTATCATACTATTTTCCTCTTTTAGATGTCCTTCTTTGATGATGGGTCGACCATGCACAAATCCTGCAATCTGCACGGCTTGTTCGAGCGTCTCGGGATCAACCGATGCGGCCACTTTGTCCGCTCTTGCTGCTGCTTCAACTTTCCCCGGAATGCCCCCATTTGCTTATCCATTCATGCCTAGCACAAGGTTTGTTTAATTTTTTTGAAAACCATAAACAACTTGACATTCTTACAAGTTTACAAATTAATCAATCAATTTCAGCACAGCCGCCTCACTCCCAGCCACCTATCAACAAATGCTACAAGCTGCTGCAGCGGCATCTGTTTCTTCAAGTTCACTGCCTGTAACTACAGCTCTTCCCGCTTCAATCCCCACTCCATCCACCGTTTCATCAACTGTTTCCACTCCATCACCAGTATCAATCAAATGCCAGTGGTCATCGTGTGGAAAGACTTTCACCACCGCCGAGGAGTTGGATGTTCATTTCAAGGTAGGATCTAAGAATATGACTGACCTTACGGAATATGACTGACTTAGGCATACATCTTATCAATCAGACAACATTTTCATCCCATTAACTAGTTGATTTCAGGCAGCTCACAACCCGAGTCCCCGCTCCTCTGTGAAGAGTCCAATCTCTCTCTCCTCGACCGTCTCATCGACTTCGACTCCCAGCAATCCCTCTTCATCTTCTTCAACCACTTCCACTCGTTATCATCCTTATTCGAAGCCTTCAATCTCTTCGAATCCTCCCGTTTCCTCATCAATTTCTTCTCCAATGCCCGCTTTCCCCTTCGCCGGCATCTCTTCATTCCCAGCCGCTCTCTCAGCGATGTATCAACAACATCAACGTTTATTGGGAATGACCCATCCATAAATGTATTCATTTTCTTTTAACTCTTGCAATATTTCAGATACTCATTCCTTTAATTTGCCCTTTGTTTCATACACGATCCCTGTGATATGTAAGGCCTAGAATATTTTTTGTTTTTGCTTTTTCACTATTTTTTTTTGCCTAAACGGGTTTAATCGGCTGGTTTTTGCCTTCAATATTTCTGCTCTCTATTTTCATAAGATTTTGCGTCTCTTTTTTGTTTCTTATAATAATGTTTCTTATATTTTAGTTCTAGAATATTTCTTAGTTTGATATTTCTTTTTGTTTACTCACTAAATGCGTGTACAGAATATGAATAAACAAATTTAAAATATCATTGAGATATGTCAGAGAAAATGCGATAGATAAAATACAAAGCTAAAAGCAAAAACGACAGTAATCAAATTGATCAAACCCATCTTTCCCCAGTCGCAAATGAGTGATTGACTTGAGTTGCAAGAAGAGTGAAAGCAATGCTTTGTCTACCTCTTCTCTTCTATTTGAGTGATGTTAGTGACTTTGTCTTCAACGTATCTCCATCCAACCGAGGGCAATCCATCTTCAACTCGTCCTCTTTTTTCTTCAACTTTCCGACAAAACTTTTCCACCGATTTCTCTCTCTCTTTTCATTCATTGGAGGCAAAGAAAGCACTCATAAATTTCCTTTTCTTTTCTTTTTTCCCCACCACACTCACTTTGCCTTTCTTTAATCAAAACATCTTAAAGTAAATCTTTTTAAATTGTTTAAATTGTTTAAAAGTGGATTTTGTTTCATGAGAAACAAAGAAATGAGATTTACAAGCAGATACAGTAACCTTTATGGAAGGAAACTTTAGAACTAATGAACACTATATTGATACCAGAGACCAGACTAACAAAGCTGTTGCTAAAAGAACAGTAATTTTTGGATTTGTAAGCAAAAATTCCGCGTCCATCCATTTCCAGCAACATTTTTCTATTAGCATTGCTCAAAAAGTGGGTAGATCGGATAAAAAAAAGGGGAAAGGACTGTCAAATGAAAGAAGAAAAAAAGGAGAAGGGAGGGCCGGTAAAGGTAATTAATTATCCTTTTGTGGTCGATGGAATGAAAGAAAAGGAAAAAACGATACTCTTTCAGTTAAAAGAAAGATTAAGTGGAATGTGTGAAAATCCAGAACTGATAGTAAGAAAAGAATTTTGAAGTATAGTGAGCTGGCTTGAGTTAGACTTGTTGAATTTTGAGGCTTGAGTTATACTTGTTGAATTCAGTGAATCGCTACCTTTCAAAACCACGAATCTTGTTTCTCTATCGAAGAAAGATTAATCCTCAAATCTCTCTCTCTCTTTCATCTCATTGAATCCAAGAAAAAGATCCTTTCAATTTGCTAATCGAAACTCAAAGATCCCTAAAATCTGATCATGAAATCCAGAATCCATTTCACACAAAAGGATTGTCCTTTCACGCCTCGAGACCGGCTTGTTTTATGAAGGAGAAGAGGATCTTTAGATACGATCTCTCCTTTGCTTTTCTTTTCTATTTCTCTTCATTCAATTTTCCTTCAATAAACCTGCCACTCAACACTCATCCGATCCGATTTGTCATGGCATATTTATCTTCCAGCGTTAAGTCTTTTTTTCAGATCTTGTCATCGTTGAAAAAACTTCGCGGAGGTTTATGAAAGGGTTTTGAGGGATTGTAGAATTAGAAAAAAGAATTCAGAAATGGAAATTCATTGTCAGTTGTCAAAGCTATTGTCAGTCTTAGACTGACAAACAAATGTCTCATTCTTGAGTATTCAAGAGTACGATCGAATACTGTCCAAAAGATTAATTCTTATGTTAACAAGATAGCTGACATTGCAATTAAGTGAAGTAGGGAAAGGGTTTCTGTTGATGAAATGAGTTGATCGGATATCTCATCAATCTTCAAATGGCTCATCTCAAACCACCAGTTGAGACCCGAGAAATGAAATAAAAAAGGAAAGAAAAGAAGAAAAGAAGACGAGAAGAAAGGGAAAGATGAGGAAATCGCTCACCTGTCTTTTCTTTTCAATGAAAAGACACAGTTGGTATTCTCGGTTTGATTTGAGGAACACCCGACTCTCGACGAGAAGTCATTCATCTTCACCCAATTCTCCCCCATTCGCTTTGTTGAGAGGTTTTTCTATGTAAGAACAGCCTTTTCTTGCTTGTTCATATCTGATCTTGAGATATTCGATTGATCAATTGTACATTCAGTTAGGAAAGAAATGTCACTTTTCGAGTAAAGCTCATCAAAAGCGGGAAAGCTTGGAGAATTTCTAATACTTTAGAAAACAATAGATGACTACTAATTGATACATCTTTGGTATAGTGACAGTTCTATACCAAAGCCTGACCTGGAGTCCTACTGAACCTAAAAGATATTCTAATGTAAATCTAGTGATTTATGAGCTTTACAAGAGAGAACAGTCAATCTCTGAAGAGTGAGGAATTGCTGTAAGACTGTAAGATCTCTTTCTCCTCAAACCTTTCTCCTTGTTTGTCTTTCTTCTCAATTTCTTCTCAATTTCTTTTTCCTTCGATAAAATCTTCAAAAAAAGATCGCCTCCTTTCTCTAATTAATCAAAAACTCGAAAAAATTTGGGAATTTCTTGTTTTCCGCGGTGACATCGAGAGATTTTTTAGAAAGATTTTATTTTATGATGGGAAGCATGTTTAGTTTTTTACAAGTTATTTAATCGTTTATTTATATTATATAACATTAGCTTCTATCAAGTTTAAATCAAACACTTTAGCTTTAACCTGAAACTAATTGAAAACGAAACTACACGGTGTTCCACAATTACTGATACCTGATAACTAGCTTGAAAAAACTTTTTTTAGTAGAAAACTTGTGATGAAACTTTTATTTTTAACAGATTAGATAGTAAAGTAATGGAAAAACAACAATTATTGGATATGTCCTCCTTTCGCGTTGATACAGAGCTGAAGGCGCTTCGGGAAGTCGTCGACCGTGGCACGCAAGTAGGGGAGATCCATCACCGAGGTCGGATGAAGAGAATGCGAAACCGATTTGTGTGGATTAGAAATGCCGTAAATTCGATCGTTTTGCTTGTTCAACACTTGCTGGACCCTAAAAACTTTCTCATCCGTGAAAAGAATCCTTCGGTGAGCTTTTCCAGGAAACCGAGCAAGAAGTTGAGCACAACGCTGTTCTCTCTCAAGTTTTGTAGCATCGGTAATTCCGTGACACTTGTTTTTCTTGAAAGCTTTCATTCCTAAGCGTTTTCGAACGATTCGATGCATCGAAGTCACAGGAACTTTCATTTCACGAGCCATTTGACGAACAGATCTCTCTCCGAGTTGCGCCTTATTCTCTCGCGAACGTTCTTATAACGTTCTCTGATAACAGTCTTAACAGCCGAAGTTACAAGTCTTCCACGCCCCTTTCGATCTTGATTTGTTCCAAGAGACTTAAAACGTTTGCATGTTCGCAAAACAAGTTGTTTTGTCACTCCCAGTCGTTGACGGATCGACCGTGCCGGAATACCTTTCTTGTGAAAAGAAATGATCAAGTCGCGAAAGCTGGAGGGCTTGGCCATTTTTAAAAAAGGACAATTTTTTAAATATTATTAAATGAAAACAAGTTTAAAACAAGAAAAACTTAAAAAACAGTCAATAAATCGCTCGCGTTGGACAATTTAAATTCTTTTATCATGAGGGGTCGGGGTATCAGTAATTGTGGAACACCCTGTATACCTCAAATTTAAGAATTTCAACTAGAATTGATCTTATTTTTAGATCTGACTTTGTGATAAAGTTTGTGTTTTTGTCTCTCAATCCTCTAATGATTGATCTATTATTTTTCTTAAATCAAATTAGCCTTTTCTCATTTATTTTCATCAATTAGTCAAATAATTAACTTTCATTAAAAGAAAAAGTATGAAAAACAAGAAAAAAAACTATTTCTCGAACGATGATTGAGTGTTGGAGAAAAAGAGATTAATTTGTTTTGAAGAATAGCTCGACTAATTCAATCATTTATTGCAGTCTCAATTTTGACGTCATGGAAGATTTGCAAAGATTTGAAGTGTTCATATGTTTTAATTTGATGATTGAGAAATCACTAGGTAAATGCACATCATCTAGTAGATCTAGCAATGCACATCTAGCAGATCTAGCAGATCTAGCATCATCTAGCAGATCTAGCAATGCAGATCTAGCAGATCTAGCAGATCTAGCTCTTCTCAATGCAACTTCTCAACCCATTTCTTCAGTTGAAAGTTAATTACAAAACCAAAAAGAGTAAAACTTTTAATCTTTTACATTTGTTTTTTATTATTTTTAGTTTATCAAATTCAAAACTTTAGCAGCTCAAAAAATGAGAGAATCTGAGCAATAAAAGGAGTGAAAAGCGTTGAATGAATGAGATGATCAAGTCATAACGATCAACCATCAATCAAACAAAGAAATGGGAAATAGAGAACTGTGAAATGGAGAAGAAAAGAAAGGAAAGAGACCGGATTTGACATTTTCATTGTGATTTTTCATGAGGAGTTTAGCAAAGGAAAACCAAATACCGTATTTCTTCGAATAGAAGACCGGGTAAAGAGTATCATCGCGTACTCCTGGGTAGCAGCCCTTTTTAAAATTTCTTTTCTGCATAAAAGCTTTCAATCAAGTGCTATAGAGCTGGAAAATGGCTCAAAAATCTGTTAGCTCATGTGGTATTTTTGAGTCATTTTCCAGCTATATAGCACTTCATTGAAAGCTTTTATGCAGAAAAGA